ATGAGGTCTCCTTTAACTCCTTGACTCTATGACTTTAACTCAAATCGACCCGTCACAGCAGTATCTTTGACTTCAGGCGATGAGGGGAGCTGGGCCTTTTTATTCCGGATCTGGCAACCTGTATCAAGGGAGTGAAAGGGGGTAGGGAGAGGGAAATGCTTCTGGATCCTGGTAACGAAAGAAGAATCAGATAAAATTAAATTCAAATGATTAATGGTAAATAACACATATAGGAAGGCCATTGCTGGAAAACCGTTGGAAAGCGAAAGCAAAAGAGCAGCGAAAAGGCCAGGGGGTGACTCCCCCTTTTTCGTTTGTGTGTGAGAAGAAGCAGATGGTTTGTAGAGGTATGATTTGGAGCAATCTCGTTTTGTGTGGCCATCGTATGGAATGTTAAAGATGTGGGCAGAACATTGTGAACTTAGCATTGTAATATAAGGTATGTTGTAGCAGAGATGTTTATGAATGTATTTAGATGTGTAGGGATGGCTTGGAGACAGAATCAAAACTGTCTGTGATGAAGAGATCAGATTAACTGAACGTCTTAAGAAAACTGAGTGTGTTAAACCCAGGTCAATAGTGGGAAGCCATGTTTAACCCTTAGCATTGAAATGGTATGATTTTAAAAACGTTGGAACTGGCACAGAGTTATAAAAGGAGAAAATGTTGTATTAAAATCTTTAGGGAATGTATTTTGAGCAATGTTATGGGTAAGTGGTTTTAATCTGTTGAAATATATGTGGATGAGTGTGATAATGATCAACAGTAGACCTGTTGGAAAACTTTAGTAATTGTGTAATGAGAAATGGATAATAGGTTTTGTAGTATGAGGATGAAAAGGCATGACCCTTATAGGGCTGTGTTTTGTTGAAGAGCAAGGATTTGGATAGTCATTAATCAATCAATGAATCAATGATTTATTATGGTCTTTGATTAGAAAATGGGCATCGGTGTGTAAGGAAGGGAATTGTAGTTTTTAAGTAGATTAGGCATGGAGGCAGAATGAAAGCACATTTAAAACATCTTATAACATTTTATAAAAGAGACAAATTAAAAGAATAAAACAGAGTAATTAAGCATAAATCAAAAGGTAAACAATCATGAATCAAAAAGTCATTTTAAAACAAACAGAAAGGGAGGAGGGAGGCAGCGTTGGTGTGTGTGTGTGTGTCTAGATCTCAGAGCTTGGCCGTGTCTGGGACGGCTAGCTCTCTCTTGTGGAATGTATGCCCCCCTTCTCTTTGGGGTAGCGTGTCTGTCGGTTTGGTCTCTTGTAAATGGGAGAGAGGGAGAGATTTTTTTTTTATGGATTTTAGTGTCTTGTAAGGTAGATATCAATAAATGTTTGACTTTGAGTATCATTTTATTAACGTTTTTATGAAGTAGGTATTTTAAACCTTTGGCTGAGATGTGGGTAATGAATAGGCATGTGTGTGTGTAGTGTGGTAGATTTATGATATAATGGTTTGATCTATTGAAAGCTGAAAGCAGACTTTTTAAAATGTTGACTTTAGCGTGTTGTGTTTAATATGGATGGGGGAGTTTGGTGTCTTAGGAAAGGGAAAAGAACATTAAAAGAAACAAACAAAGCTATGATTTGTAGACTTAATAAACTCAATCTTAAAATGAACTAAGCAAGAATGTTTAATGTGTAATATGATTAATAACATAGCAAGATATGTTATCATGTAAGCATGTGTTGTCAACCAATGTTTTGTAAGAAGTGTATTTTTGTGGAGCTGATTTATCTGTAAGCATCAGATGAAATGTATGGTTTTTAGGTGTGATTAAAATTTAAAATTGTATGAGTTGAGTGTAATGTGAGTTTTATCTATAATTGACCCTTTGAAATGAAAGGGACTTGAAGTTGTGTGTGTTAAGTTTGGTTTAATTTTATCGTTGGTGGAGTTGAGAATGTGTTTTTTGATTGTGAATTATGAATCTTAGGAACTATAACTCTTGATTTTGAAATCAACACCAACTTTATCAGTATTTAAATTGTTGTGTATAGGTATGTGTATCAAACTAGATTAAGCAAATGAGAATCTATTTTGTATATCAGACATGTATATCACAATGTATAACAGTAGCAAACTTATGGCTATGAAACAATAATAACAACGAGCAAAATTATAACTATGAAACAATAATAGCAAATGAAAACAATCTTAAACATCTCTCAGTTGAGGGTTAGTATAACACAAAGAACTGTCTGAAAGAGCCGTAGCATGAAGAAGGTTGGGAATCACTATTTAGATGTTGTATCGTGGCT